GACCGATCAGAAATGAACAAAAATTCCACCAACACCAGTGCATCCTAATAAATGCAGCCAGTTGTGTGTGTGACTGGTCATGACTAGCTGGTGGACAAGCCTTTGCTTTGGAATAGCTGGGGCCTGACCAAAGAATTCTTGCTTTTAAAATGACCTATTTTTTTATTTAAAAAAATTAAACCTTTTTAAAACAAAACAACTGAGGTCTAAATTACATATTCAAACATGCCCAGTTCCGAGAAGCACAGATGGATTCGTTTTGACAAATGCAATGTCACCACCATCCCAGGCACAATCCATAGCCCAACGCCCCAGAAATTCCCTCCCACCTCTTCCCGCTGATCCCCAGGCCCACGGCCCCAGGGAAACCACTGTTCTGGTTTCCTATCACTTTCAGCTTGATTTTGCTTTTCCTAGAATTTCATATAAATAGATGCATTAGTAGGTCCCGTGTAGACATATGCCTTTTTTTTTCACCTAATATAATGGCTTTTAAATTCATCCATTTCCCGTGACTTGTTCCTGGCTATTCCTGAGTAGGATGCCATTGTCATGGGAAGAGCACGGTCTGTGTTCCATTTTCCTGTTGATGGTCATGTGGGTGTTATTAGTTTTGGGCAATGATGTCTAAAGCCTCTGTGAACATCCCTGTTCGTCTTCTTGAACATACGTTTTCAGTTATTTTGATGTGGGATTGAAAAGCCTGAATTGCCACGTAGGTATACTTTTACCTGCCAAACCGTCTCCCAGAGCAGAAGATGCAATCTGGCCAATTCATTTTAACTCCACATGTGATAAGCCAGGACTACCAACTGACCTCCTTACCAGACAAATGACCKTGTGACTAACTAGCTGGTTCTGGGGGCTGGAAAGGCTTCCAGAGACAGGAAGGGCARTGATCAGAAGCAAGAAACGAGATCAGGGAAGGCTGCTCGCGCTCCCCTGGCGAGCTTCCGAAGCCAGAAGCCTTCTGAAGGGTCGAGGTCCCCAGTCCCATGATGGAAAGGAAAATCCTGAGTTGTCTTGAATTTAATTACAAAGGCTAGAGAGTGGGGAGGGAAAGTTAATCAGTTAGCAGATGCTGGGAAACCCACAGACTCTGCTGCACAGACCTGAATGTATGTGAAACCATGACCTAAGTCCATGGAGAACCAGGCGGCCGCGCCCTGTTTGCTCTGATGCAACCGCTGAGCTGAGCCTGCAGCACGAAGCCACTCCTCGTGGCCTGCCCCAGCCCAGAGCTTGCCCTGCTTCACACCATCTGCCCCTCTTAGCTTTCGTCAATGAAGTTTTGCTGTAGACACCTTTTCCTCCCTATGTTTTATAGAAATGCTCTCGGCTCCAGGTCTGGAGTCTTTTCCTTCTGCTGCCTGGCCCTGCTCCTGGTAGTTGTGGGAACTTGTCCTGGGACCTGGTCTTTTCCTTTTCTGATTGGCATTGCAATGGCTCAGTTGCAGAGACTCAGGTCCCTGGGTCTCCAGAGATGTGATTGACCGGCCTTCGGGGGAGACCRCCAGCCAGATGCTCCTTCAGCCCCTGGAGTAAGAACCTGAGGATGGGGCTGGGGATGTGGCTCAAGCGGTAGCGCGCTCGCCTGGCATGCGTGCGGCCCGGGTTCGATCCTCAGCACCACATACCAACAAAGATGTTGTGTCCGCCAATAACTTAAAAAAAATAAATAAATATTTAAAAATTCTCTCTCTCTCTCTCTCTCTCTCTCTCTCTCTCTCAAAAAAAAAAAAAGAGAGAGGAGAGAGAGAGAGAATTAAAAAAAAAAAAAAAAAGAACCTGAGGATGTCCTGAGGCTTCAAGTGGCCAGGGGAGGTAGGAGGAGGATGCAGGTCCTCTCTGGTGCTAAGTCCTTTCTGGTGTGAGGGAGTCAGCGGTGGCCGTTGGATGTGTTGTGGCATGTTTAGCAGATCTCCAGCCTTCAATGACAGTGTTCCCCATCCCACCCCCAAGGTGTGTCATCCATAGAGGTTGTCCAGTGCCTCCAGAGGACAAAGATCATCCCTGTGTTGAGAACCACTGGGTTAAAGCAAGTCCTAAGACTAGCCCAGGTTCACAGGGAGGAGACCACAGAAACACAGAGATTCCTGGAAGTTCGCTGGGGGCCACCAAGGGACCTTGCACCGCTTCCAGATCACCTCCAGCTCACTTGGGATCCGCTGGACCCTTATTTTGAGGTCAACTTCTCCACCTGATGAACTGAGCCCCAGGTAGGTCAGAAGCTGCAACTCGAATCAAGTGCAGAGTGATCCTGTGACTTAGGGTCCTTGGTCACATTGGCTGTGGATCTGAGCTGAAGGATTCAAACCCCCACGCAGCTCCTCCCCGTATCAGGTCAAAAGTGTGGGGACAYGGTCTGAAACCAGGCCATCTGCCTGGTGGTTTGGGGAGTCAAAATTTCTAGAGCAAAAACATGAGCACATAARAGGCAGTCAGGGGACCCCGAGAAACAGGAGCCCTTAAGATAAAGGAGGTGAAATCTCCCCAGCAGGGGAAATGACACAGGCAAGCTAGATCTCAGGCTCATGAGGTTCACAAACACCAGAAAATGAGGAATTAAAGAGCAGCCCAGTCTCGAAGGCTTTAGAATTAAGACAACGCGGGCTGGGGATGTGGCTCCAGCCACCCTCCTCCCCGCCCCACCCCCTGCTAACCGCCAYTCTCACTTATCGCCATACATGGAGGCAACTTTGTAAACATGGACTTGTATACTGTATTCTTTCATGTCCGGCTTCCCTTTTATACATTTCATTTTAAAAGATTCACTCCTCAAGTTGTGCACATCAGTCATTTTTACTTTTTATGGGTGTGAACTATGATAAGAGTAAGTTTGACTTATGAAATGGTCCTAGGTTGGATACTGCTGTTTATGYCCCAGTGCCAGAACCTCCCCTCCCACCCACAGCATCCTCCGACCTTCTCCTTCCCCCAGAGCTCTGACCGCCATCACCCACACCTGGAGGGAATGTCCTGCCTCTGTCYAGCAGTCCCCCAGGGCTGACCTTGACTGTTCAGGCTCTGTGATGACATACTGACTTAGAAATTACTGAAGCCCGGCAAGGTGGCATACAACGGCAATCTAGCACCTTAGGAGGCTGAAGCAGGAGGATCGCAACTTTGAGGCCAGCCTCAGCAATTTAGTGAGGCCCTATGCAACTTACTGAGACACTGTCTCAAAATAAAAAGTGCTGGGGATGTGACTCAGTTGTAAAGTTTCCCTGGGTTTAATTCCTAGTACCAAAAATAAATTTTTAAATTAAAAGTTAAATTATCGGAAGAAGAGTTGCCTTTTCTAATTGCACCCTGGCCCTGCCTGGCTAGCTGTGGCCATCAGTGCCCTGTTCCTTTAAGGGCTGCCTGGGTTTTGATGCCATCGCTCCAGCTGAAATGGCACAGCTGGCTCAGCCAGGATGGGATGTTCGCTCCCAGCTGTGTGGAGGGAGTGACCCCCTCCTCAGCACAGCGGTTCTGCCGCTGGACTCTGAGTTCCTGGTCCTGCCCTCCGAGACCCCTGAGTTCTGCCCCAACGTGGCCCCTACACTGTTTCACTGCTGTCCCTTCCTTTCCCCCAGGGCTGCCTCCAGATTTGGGACATGATTTGTGTTTTGAAAAGGAGCCTGTCTGCTGGGGATGTGGCTCAAGTGGTAGCGCGCTCGCCTCGCATGCGTGAGGCCTGGGTTCGATCTTCAGCACCACATACAAACAAAGATGTTGTGTCCGCCGAAAACTAAAAAATAAATATTAAAATTAAAAAAAAAAAAAGAAAAGAAAAGGAGCCTGTCTCTCTGAGGTTGTGGCTTGCGCACGGACAGCGTTTTCTGGTCAAGTAACTACGAGGAGTAAAGTCAATCGGTAAATATCGGTCAGTGATTGGTGGAGCTATCAAAGTATAGGTGTATCAGTCAGCTGTGCCGCGTGACAAGCTGCACCCAAACTTTGTGAATTCATACAACTATTTATATTGCTCACAGTTCTTGAGGGACTCTGTATTCCTACATTTTTCATTAAGAAAATGCTTAAAGCAAGCTAACTTTATAAAGAGTTTATGTAGCTTGAAGTTTTGGAGGCTAAAGATCAGGCAGCCTCATTGATTTGGCCTCTGGTCAGGTGGCTCTTTGGCAAAAGCACATGGAGGAGTGAGTGTGAGGTGAGAGGTCGCGTCCTTACACAGGAAGCCAGAGAGCTCTTCTGGGGTTGGGTGTACTCACAACACCTGATTTTATAAGAGGTCAGGGTCCCACGAGGGTGATCTTGTTGCCTTCCAAGGGCGGCTCCCACAACGACCTATGGGCCTCCCCAGGCCTCCCTCCTAAAGGTCCYAAAACTTGACCACGGCCACCGGGGACCAGGCCTCCGACACATGAACCCCTGGAGGACCGAACACGTCAAAACCTSCTTCCTTCCAAAGCTTCTTGTGCCCTGGTGTCCAGTACATGAGTCCCCTGCAGCGCCCCTAGTGGCCGTCTTCCCTCAGCTGGTTTATTACCAGTGATTGGGTGCGCTCACCTCCTGGCTGAGGGAGGTCAGTGGAGAGTAGAGGCTCCRGGTTCTGGTCCCAGCTCTGCCCTTCCCTCACCATTGTACYTGAACCAATCACTCCAGCTCTCCCAGCCTCAGTTTCCTCATCTGTAAAATGGAGGGGCTAATGTCCACACTATGGAGCTACTGCAAAGTGAAAAGAATAGCGCATTGATTGTGCGCTCACACACACGGTGCTGGGCTTTGTTCTAAGCACTTCACTCACATGGTAATAATCACCCTGGGAAAGAACACTAAGAAGGTTGCARTTGGGAAGAGGCAGAGGCGGGATTCAAACCAGCAACCTGGCTTCAGAGCCCACRTGCTGAGCCACACTGCTGCTGTTCTGCCCCCAGACGAAGGAAGCAAAGGGCCCGGCCCAGAGCTGACCACGGAACCATCCAGCAGGGGAAGCRGAGAGAGGCAGGAAAGGGGAGTTTGACCTCTGACCACAGAGAAATCGGCACAAAGAGAACAGTTTTGAGCTCTTTTAATTTCGGCAAACTTCCATTTTGCATTTTAGATTTTAGGGTTTTTTTATTGAGTTACATAAGGGAGAGGCAGGTTTCCGTGTGGCTTTGTCAGGCTTGTGGCCTCTAAAGGTCCTCACTGGGCCTGCATCACCCACCACAGCCAGATCATCTGTGGGTCCATCAAAGATTATGGAACTTCCCCTTCTTGCTGCAAACCCTGCATCTGGCTCCCATAGTTCCCAGCCCCTTCCCCTTCTCTGCCCTGGAAGAGTCTGGCAAATCCTCCCCCATGGTAGTGGTCAGTGATCACGGGTCCCAGCAATGCCCACGGTTTTCCTGTGGTTCCAGCATGGTATAGAACACCTCAAATGTAACATGGCAGGGGACTGGTGAAACCTCCTAGGGCACCAGGGACCGAGGCTGGAAGGGGAGGTACCCGCCAGGCTGGGTCCTGAGCCGCTGGAGGAGCCCGACTCCATCCAACCTTACCCGATGGGGTCCAGTCCCGGCTCAGGAAGCCACCTTCTTTGCCAGCTGTCCCAGGTCATTCTAAGACAGCCCTCCCGCGCTCCCTAAGCTCTAAGCAGTCTTCACCACCCCAAATCTACTTCATTTGATCCTCACGCCTGCACTTCCTGGGAAGAAGGCCATGGACAGTCTCCTTGGCATAAGAGGAAACCAAGGCACAGAGAGGGAGGGAGGCCGGGGACACATGCCAAGCCAGAGGAGGTGCTTGGGAGAGAACCAGGGCTCCTGAGGACCCGAACATTGGGCCTGAGCCTGCCGGTGGGTGAGGGACCCTACCCTGCGGCCCACTTGCCGAGGCCACCCACTGAGAGAAGCTTAATGATAGGGCTTGTTCCCCAGCAAGCTAGAGAACCTTGTCCCTCCACAGGCTGGTGTGACTTGGGGCAGGTCCCCTCTCCTCTGAGCCTCTGTGGAGATGGCATGGAGGTCCCCTGTGACGGAGACATGCTGGGACTGTGCAGTTGGGGCCTAAGGCGATTCCACCTCTTTAGGGTTTGGGGATCCTCCATCAAAATGCAAGAGGTTGTGTGACAGGTATGGTGACTATGCTGTGACCTGATGACAATAAGGATGCCTGTCTGTCTCCCGGCTGCTCTCAACAGCTGGGTTATACGTAAGTGTCAACGTTGAATGTAACCATCACTGTCACCCAGGGARGTGGGTGGTGTTGTTACCCCYATTCTATAGATGAGAAAACTGAGACTCTGAGAAGTGGAGAAAGTGAGCCAGGACTGGGATCCAAGGGTCTTCCTCCTCTAAGGGCAGGCTCTTGCTCCTGGATGTCTGCTTTAGAAACAGACTCCACTGTGCAAGGTCTATAGCCCCTGAGCTGTTCCTCCAGTACTGAAGCCCCTCATGGCCCCTCAAAAAGCATTACGGGAACTTTCTGAGSACGTGAGGACCTAGACCAGCAGGACCAGCTTCCCCCGCCTCTCCTTCGCCAGTCCCTCATCCTGGCCCACATGCAGACACTGCAGCTGGGCCATGGAGCCTGTGAGCAGACACAAGTTTATTATTGCACAGCCTGTAGCACCTAAGCCCCCACCCCCACACCGGTTCCAACCAGGCCCCACAGCTCTGGCAGCCACAGGCTCGTCCCCAGCACAGGACCAGACCCAAAAACCCAGAGCAATGATCTTAGAGTTGAGGCCCGGAGCCTGTCAGCCCTGAGGAGCCTTACCCCACCCCCTCATTCCCTAGGAGTCCAGAAAAGCCCAGACACAGATGCAGAGTGGTGCCCACAGCTGGCTGGRATGGGGGCGTCTGTAGGCTCCTCTCTGCAGAAGCACAGTTCAGGATTCCAGCCAYGCTAGAGGCTCTGGCAGCTGGAAACGGGCAAGTGCAAAGCTAGAGGGGAAGGTTCCTAAGGATGGAGAAGGGGGAAGGGAAAGTTGTTCCAAATGACCAGGTCCTGACCTGCCCTGGGGGGGAGCCTGGCACCACACGGAGGCTCCAAGGTCCAGAGAAACAGAATAGCAGCAGCACCTCCAGCTCAGCTCGGATGCTGTGGCCACATCCTTCCCCAGGAAGGGCTTGGGTGGGCCTGGGAGCTCTTTCCCTTCTTTCTGGAGACAGGGAACCACAGCCCTTAGCCCCCAGGCCACCCCCCAGCAAGCCTGAGGGCCCAGACACAGTGTGTGAGGACATCTTTAAGGGAGGTGCATGTGAGTGTCGTTTGCCAAGCATATGGAAGGGGCTTTCTTGTGAAGACTGCACCAGGCTGATCTCTCAGCACCCRCCTGAGAGTCTGCCCAGGGAAATCTGCCTCCCTTCCATGTCATGCCTCCCTGAGCCCACAGTGGCCCTGGTGGGGGAAGGGGACAAGCCAATTCATAGGGCATCATACGAGCTGTAGCTCACCGGCCCGAGAACTTCTGTACASTGACCCCAAGGAAATCAGCAGCTCTAAATGCAACTCCAGCCTCAGACACACCCACAAACAGGGGCCACCACAACGGCACCTTACCCTTCCTCCCGCCCCGCCCCTGGGGTCAGTGGCTTCCTAGGCAAAGGCTCCCATTCCCCAGGTCTCCCCCTGTGCTACTGGGCCAGGAGGGAGGCTGAGTGGATTGGTGGGAGAAGGCGGAGCACTGCATGCTGGGCTAGTCAGCTGAACTTGTCCATTTCCTCCACCATCATCCAGAACCTCTGTAAGTCAGGGCCAGCTGTGTGCTGGGTACAACCACATGGTCCAAGGGATTTCAGTACCCCCTCAGCTTCCCAGGCAACCTTGGGCCACCAGCCAGGGGACTAAGTTAAAATGGGAGGGGGGTAGGAGCAAGAGGGAGAACATCATTGAACATCAACATCCTGCTTAAGTGACTTCTTCCAAAACACACAAAAGCTCAGGGATTGGGTGACAAGGGGCAAGGAGAAGGAGTGGGTGAGGACAGGGGACAGGAGCAGATCAGGAAGCTCAAGAGACCAGGGGTCTCCCCTCAGGGCTTCCCTTGCCCCCGAGCAGAGCGCCCCTGGAGGGGTCCCAGACGTTTTACTCCTCTGGCACCCAACCCACAGCACGGCCCCGGGAGGCCTCCTTAAGCATCTGTGTTGTGGATGTGAGCTGGGCGCGGGGCTCCAGGAGCAGAGTCTTGTCCTCTTTGGCCACCTGCCTGGCATTGCAAAAAGATGGATCATGGTGTCCCCGGAACTCCTGGCTCTGCAAAGGGACAGCAACGAGGTGAGGTGAGGGAGGGAAGAAGGGTGCTCCAAGGCTGACCACCCAGTGGGATGCTGGGCGCGGCCCCCTTCCCCCCCACCAGGGCAGCCCCGGCCCCTGGCTTTGGTACTCTGCCAGGCCTCCCCAGGCCCTGACGCCTGCCTCTGCCTATTTGAACAGGCTGTTCCCTCTGCTGTTCCACTCTTCCCTTCCTTCCCTCCCTCTCCCCCTCTGTCACTGGGCTCTCTCCTTTCCATCCTCTAAGCCATTGGTGCCTACAGGAAAGGCTCCAAAATCCCCATGAAACAGGCAGCCCACGAGCTCAGCATTTACCCCCAGGTGGACCTGCCAGYTACACAGTGATGGCACAGGGATTCCTTCCCTCTCCTGAGACTGACTACAAAACTCCAACACACTCTAAGCTACAATCAAAGAAGGGCTGTTTGGGTTGTTGTTTGTCTTGCAGGGGGAGGGGGCAGAGGACAGGGGCAATAGGCAAGAACTCTGAGAGCACTGCCAAGGCCAGGATTCGCTGTAAAGGCCAGCCCTGGCAGGGGGAAGACTGTCACCCTGAGACCAGCTCAGCCCATCCTTTTTTTAGAGGACTGTGTCCAGTCCCCAGTTCCATCATGGAGAGAAAACTGGGATGGAACCAATGGCAGAGGAAGGGCATGGGGTGGGAGGGACTGAGGTGGGGCAAGAGGGCGTGGTGCTCAGCCCTGCCCACCATCTCCGGTGGACTGTCAAGATGCAGGGATCTGGGGACAGCATCAAGAGCTGCTCAGCTTGATGTCKGAACTGGGAGATCTCCTCCGCTGTGGGCTGTGAGGATTGGCTGTCACTCCTCAGGGCAGGAGTGAGTCTCTGCTGCCTCTACAGCTCCCCCTGGAGGCGCTGCTGAGCAAATGTTGGTCCAATRAACGAATGGATGGGTGAATAAAGCTCCGCAAGTGTGCAGCTAGGGACACCTAGGCGTGAGCAAATGGGGTGGGGAGCCCAAGATCTGCCAAACCCAGGGCAGATGTGACTCCACAGCAGAATGCTTGCTTAGCATGCACAAGGTCCTGGGTTCAAGCCCCAGCACGGCAGAAAAAAATAACAACAACAATAATTAGCCTCAGGATGGATGCCCAGTCCCCAGTGGGTTCCTTCTCCTGTCACCCTGACCCAGAATTTCTATGGGCTCCTCCSTTTTCCTGCTTTCCCCTGCCGCACCTGGTAGACGAAGGTCAGGTCAGGAGATGGACAAAGAGGATGGCCAGGCCGATGTTGAGCAGGATCACCATGCAGATGAGGACAGTATTGGGGACCTGGAACAGTGGACAGAGGCTGCCTGAGTCCCAACAGCCTCTTCACAATCCCAGTCAGGTTACAAGTCTGGCCAGGGGCGCAGGAACTTCTAGAAAGATCCTCCTAAGAGCACCCCCTGTGTGGTCACTGTGGACCCTGGATGGCAGACTTTGGGAGCTGAAAAGATTCTTGAAAATAATTAACATAAGCCCCCAGGGTCCAGAAAGGGACATGAATATATCCCAAACCACAGAGCAGGAGAGACTCAGGCCTGGAACCCGGGTGGCAGGCCTGATGGACTGCTGATCCCTCCTGTGTGGCCTTCCTCAGCCCCTGAGAGCCCAGCCACACTCTGTTTCTGCAGTAGTGGCGTCCAGCCTCCCMGGGATGGAAAGGTCCAGAGTCCAAGACCTGCTGGGGTCTTCCTCCACCCCCAGGAAGCCATCCCTGCTACACCCTGAGCAGATGAGCAAGCTGGGTCCCRGCACAAGTCTTCCCCACCAGCAGGTGGCCCATCCTGCCTTGGCTCAGGCTCCCTGCTCACCCTGTTYCTGAGACCTGCCTCTGTGGATAGGACACCAGGGGCAAAGATACTTACCCGGAGGTGAGGCGGGAATCTCTGCCTTGTCATTTAGGCTCTGAAGTCCTCTAGGCACCGGGACAAAGCTACACTCCAGTATTCCGCCTTCCCCGCCCCCAAATGCCCTGCACCCCAAYCCTGCCTCCCGTCCTGTGGACCTCGGATGCCTCTTCTGCCCATAGACTCACCTCTTCTACCTCCACCTCCGCCTCTGCCAGCAGCGCCGCCTCCTTCCGAGCCTTCTTCTTGGCCCCAGCCTTGGTCAGCCCTCTGGCCTCAGTCTTGCGGGCCTTGGCCTTGGACTCGGCTTTGGGGACAATGGGCTTGGGCTCCAACTTGGAGGRGGCCTCGGGCGCAGGCTCGCAGACTTGGACCGCAGGGGCCTGCACSGGGGCGGTGGCCGGGGACGGTGGCGCGGAGTCGGACCCGGAGGCTTCGGGCTCGGGCTCATCCTCGAAGGGCGGAGGCGCGGGCGGCCCTGTGCGCACGGCGTAGCTGTGGTAGCCGCGGTACAGCGCCACCTCGGGATCCCGCGACGGCGCGGGCGGCGCCTGCAGCGCCTCGATGGCCATGTGTTCCGTGGCGGGGTGCGCGGGGCTGCGGCGGCCCGCGCCCTCGGACGGCGTGACGGGCCGGCTGCCCTCGCCACCAGACTCGCCGTTCCAGGCGCCCGGGCCCAGCAGGCCGTCCTTGGACGTCCCCGGCCGGGGACGCTTGGGCTGCGGGGGAGTCCCGGCCGGCGACGGTGGGCCCCCTTCGGGCCGCGGGGTCTCGCGCTCATGCAGCTGCGGGCTCTCGCGGGGCGGCTTCGGGACGCCTGCAGCCCCCGCGCCCCGCTCGGGGGGCTCCAGCAGGCTCTCCGAGTTCTCCAGGATCTCCTGCAGCAGCCGGCGCTTCTGATATTCCGGACCTGCCGAGGCAACACAAGGAGGCTGCGTGCGAACCCCACCGCTGGATGATCCTGGGCCAGGCACGTCACCTCCTGAGCCTCTCTCATTTACTCAGCCAGCACTYAGGGCACGAGCTGATACCAGACCCTGCCTGGCCTGAGCAATTTCCTAATATGAACTSGTTCGTTTTGATAACCCTATGAGATTGGTGCTATTGAAAACCTCCGATTTCCAGATGAAGAAAGAAAAGACCCAGAAAGGTTAAATCACTAGCCCAATGTCACACAGCAAAGGGCAGATGTGATGCTTTTAACTAGGACACTGGTCTCTTTACATCCCCTTGCCTGAAAAATGGGCCTAGTAATACCTATTTCATAAAAAGCACTGGAAGGATAACTTTAGAAAATGTGTGCAAAATGACAAGCTCAGACCCTGGCATAGTAACAGCCATGGCTACCACTACCCAAGGCAAGCTAGTGACACTCTTCCTGGGCCAGCAGGGGGAGCACTGTGACCAGAAGGGACGTCTCTGGGCACAGACTGCACTCCTGGGTCTTCTATCTAGTGTCACTTGGGCTCCCTTACTGCAGTGCAGTCTGTCAGAGCCATTGGTCCTCCTTACTCTGCAGCCTCACTCCCCACCTCCTGCTGCGTGCCTCCCCATCTAACTGTTCCAAGCTCCTGTGCTTTTGGGCCTGCAGTTCTTTCCATTCAACTGTCCCACCCAGTACCACCTGGTGCAGTAGTTCTCAAAAGTGTGGCCCCAGACCAGCAGCATTGGCCCTGCCTGGTCCTCTAGACATGGGCTCCACCCCAGACCTAAAATCAGGACCTGGGGGAGGGGTGGGCCCAGCAGTCTGTGTCAAGATCAATTTTGAAGGACCTGATCTGTCACACAGCACTCATCATACTGTGTGAAATTGAGGTTTACCAGTTGCCTTGCACGAAGTAACACAGCTGGTGAGCAGYGGAGTCAGGATTTGAACACCTGCAGCCTGTGTGCCTCACCCCATGCTGTCTTTGAGTGGCCCTGGAGCCCAGCACAGGCCTGACACACAGGCAGTGCTCAATTAGTGCTTGACAAAGTATTGAGCAGGAGCAGGAAGCCCCGTWTGCCCCGGCATCCATCAGAGACTTACCACTTCTCTAAGCTTCACCAGCCCCAACCAACAGGGACAGTCATGCAGGCAGAGATGTGTCTCCTCCGTGTCCTTTTTCATTGTCCCATACCTTGTCTGCATCATGCCTCACAGTTTCCAAAACTTGCAAGCATTCATGAGCCTACTGAGTATCTCAGCTTCCCAGCAAGCAAAAAAAAGTGCCCATTGCCCAGTGGCCCTACCTGGCTGGTAGAAGTCCGGAGCCAGCTCCCTGGCCAGAGTGCGGGCAATGTTCGACTCCTGGTTGGCGGCCAGAGCAGCCTGTTCTGATGCCTCGGCTTTGGCCCTGGCGTGGCTTGTCCTAAGGAGACAATAGGGAAGAACACTTAGGGTCCCACCAGAAAAATAGTTCTTGTTTCTTCTCCCCATGCCATGCAGAGACACCTGGACCCAGCATTGGCTCACTCAGGCTGTYCATGGATATTTATCAAAGCCTGTGCCCAGAACATTTCTTCTACTTTCTGGGCACGAGAGACCTCATGTCCCAGCCTCCCCTGCAGTTAGGTATGATGGGGTAACTCTCTGGCCCGTGCGTTATGGGAAGCTCTGGTGTGCGCGCTRTTCAGGCCTGGCCATAAAACCTTTTCCCTGTTGCTGGCTGCATGCAGAAGAGGCCAACGTCCCAYGACAGGGTGTTTAACATCTTTTGCGTCACAGAGTCCTTTGGCAGTCTGGGGAAGCCTGTAGATCCATCTCAGAACAATGCTTTTAAAATGCACAAAATTCATGGGATTACAAAGGAAATCTGCAGTTATATCAACACACTGTCACCAAAATATTTAAAATAACAAATCTGCAACATAATAATGTATGTCCTTCTTTATTAACACATTAAACAAAATGTCTATCAGGCCTACTAACTACCATAATTTTCAAGTATAAATTAGCAYAAAGGATATTTCAAAGATATCTGCAACAGTAATGTGATATGAAAATATGTATGATTTCCATTGACAACAAAGTCACAGATACTGAGAACGGTATCATGGCTTATTGCCTACTTCTACAAATGAAGAAAATGCTGAATTTTAGTTAGAAGTTGGTAAAAAAAAAAAAAAATAACACTTTTCCCCACCTCTAGTAGGTACTTTTGGTGCCCAGTCCAGATCCCTTTACTGGGCAAATTGCACCTGCCCYCTAGCTGTCGTGAGTGTGGGCTGCTAATGGCTCATTGCTACCCCAAGGATTGCAACCAACAGAAACCACTGTGTTCCACAAGTTTAAAATGCCACTCCCTCTACCCTTGCCCAAGCAGCCCACACCAGTGACTGGCTGACACCAATCAGCCTCCTCTCACCCCAAGAGCAACCCACTGCAACCCTGGGGCACAAATCCTTGCTCCAGAGGCCTCAGCTTCAGGCAGGGCTCCAAAGGAGACCACAGGCTCGCTCAGCTCCTTCCCCGTCCCTCCTGATGCTCCCACACCTCTTTCCTGGAAGCATGCCCTCAATAAATCTCTGGCTCAGGAGTCCCCATCTCATGCCATGTTTCTAGGGACTGTAACCTAAAACACCATTCAAGTTCATGGACCCTCCACATTCTACCCAGAGAATCCCTGGTGGACTCCAAATTAAGAAATGGAGTGGAAGGAACCCAAGTGCATAATTGACAGCCCCTCCCACAGTCCTACACTGGAATGTGACAAGAGCAGCACCTGAGATTTGAGAGATGTCTGTTTCAGCTGCCAGTTTAGCTACAGTAACAGCGGCCCCGTTTACCAACAGGACAGGCTGGGTGCTCCACTCCGGCACTAAGGGAACCAGTAAGATCATCTGCCATGMTATCATGACATCTGAGGAAGCTGGTGCTGTTGTTCACCCTCTTTACAAATGGAAACCGAGACACAAACAGGTTAAGTAACTTGCCCAGGGTCACAGAGTCAGGAGGGCAGGAGTCGGGATGTTGAACCCTCACCTGGGTGCTCATGCTGCTCTTGAGCATGGGAAGACTGTGGCCAAAAGCTGAGGCTTGAGACTCCTGTGGACAAGAAGGTCCAGACCCCACCCCCCCACACACACACACCATTAAATCAAACATAATCAAATAAAAAGTATTTATTTACAACCATGGAGATGTGCCAATTAGGAAGAGCATAGAAGACACTGGAGACCCTGGACAGTGAGCCTTCCTAGAGACTGGCAGAGTGTGGGTTGGCACAGGAGGTTTCCCTGAGGATGGGACATTCAAGCTGGGACCTGGAGACACACATCCATTAGGCCTAGCAGAGGTAGGGAAGGCTGTGAGCTGGGCAGAGAGGCGAGCAAACTCTGAGGCCCTGACCTAAGTGACAGCTGGACTTCCCTGGAGAACACAAGGTGGAGTGAGAGCCAGGAGAGGGGTTAACTCCTCGGGGAGTGGAGTGTCTCCAGCACACACTGGGCCCACAGTAAAGAAGATGGATTCCCTGAAGCTCCTACTATGTGCCAGGCCCCTTACCTTTTGTCATCCCTCTCAATCCTCAAAACTGTCCATAGGAGGTTTTTTCCATCCTTCCCCATATCATGGGCAGGGAGACTGAAGCTCAGAGAGCTATCTTGCTCAAAGATGCAAAATAGTATCTCACATTGGTGCCCAGGGCTCTACTTCCCACAGCCAGGAAGCAGCAGCATGAGAATTCAAGCTGAGGCACCCAGGAAGCAGGGCCCCTGGACACAGGCTCCGCTCCACTCAGCAATGAGCAGGCCATTGAATCTCACACCCAGGCCAGCAGACATCCAAGCCGCTGTCCTCTCCCCCATGCCACCCTGTCAGGCTAGGGTTCACTGAACCAAGAGAGCAGCCCAGGAGCGCGCACGCAGGCACACGCACATACACACACACACACACACACACACACACACACACGGGGGCGGGGTGGGGGTGGGGGCTTGGGAATAGGTGAGAGCACATCGGGGATCAGCAGCCCTGGATTCTGATTTTGGCTCTGCCTCGTCTGGGGTTAGGGTGCGGCGTGAGGGGCTCTCAGATGCCGAAAAATTCAGTGATCGAGTTAAATCATATTTTCATATAATATTTAAAGTTAAAATTGAAATCCTGGGTAAGTAAATTATTTAGAAAATGTTTCACAGAGACTGATGGGACGCTGTGCTGGCGTCCCTCCCTCCCCCACGGCTCCCCAGTCCTGACCCCACTGGACCTTGGGTGTGCGGCTTTCCTCTCCGTGCCTCAGTTTCCCCGTCTGTAAAGTGGAGGTGACAGCTCTCCCCTGGTGGAGCTGCTGTGAATGTGAAGGGGGTGGTGATGACTTTGCTGGTGAGACAATAAGTGGTGGCGGTGGTATAGGAGGACAGGGTGACATTTGCAACATCGAAATTCAAGGTGGTACGTGCGGAGCGGCAGGCTCACGTTGGCCTGCGCGTGGGTTTGTGTGAGACAAAGTCCTAAACTCTTCAGAGCCACTTCCAGGGGAACCTGAAACCCCAGGTCAGTGGGGGAGGGAAAGCGCAAGGCAGGCGAAACTTCCAGCTGAGAAGATGCCCTTTTTTGGTCATGTGAGCTGAATGACGCTCATTTCCTGATCCTTAGCGAAGCTGGGTTGCAGGACTCCAGGCTGGAACCAGGGCAGCCGGCACAGGAGTGGAGATGGGGGTGGCCACATAGCCCGAGACATGAGGGTTGCCGCATTGGAAGCAGGCACGCATGGGACCTCTGCCCACCTCCATCAGCCTGGCACTGGCCACAGAACCCCTTACTAGCCCTCTCCCCAACCCCCATCCTCTCTAACCTCAGGGTGGCTTCTCAGCTCCCAGCCTGCAAGCCAGGAATCCCAGTATTCTCCCACACCCTCCTCCCCATCTCCTTCAACCCCAAAGCCAATCAGTCACCCACTCCTGCCTGTCCTGGCAAAGCCCCCCCAGCCCCAGCCCACGCAGTACACAGGGGTTGTGCCTGCCCGTGTACATTCCCAGGCCTCACCTCTTGCTTCAGGTCTTTGCAAGCCCTCTTGCTGTGCTCAAAGCAAAGCCCAAACACTCCACACTGCGCCTGCAGGGCTTCCCACCTCCTCTGCGTGAGGCAATCCTGATGGGGCATGCAGGGCAGCCCCCAGATGAAGGGCAGGCAGAGCTGCTGTCTCCCAGAGGCCACTGCTTCCAGTCGGGTGCCACTCTCAGGGTGGCCCTGCAAACCCTCCAGCATCCTCACCAGCTTGTCAGTAATGCAGGTTCTCAGGATCCACCCCAGACCTTCTGAATCTCAATCAGAGGRGGAGGAGCCCAGGAACCTGTGTTCCACAAGCCCTCCAGACACCCGCAGCTCACCAAAGACAGAGAAGCGTGACAGAGAGGTGATCAGCCTGCCCGAGCCCTGGGAGCCTCAAATGCTTTCTTTAAGCACCATGAGCCCTCCCTGGTCTAGGCCCTGCCAGGATGACACAGGGACCACCTCTTCTCTGACTACTCGCCACATCGAGGTTGATGCCTCTGGGCGAGGGTCTTCTAGGACGGCTCTGAGCCTGCTGGGGAAGTGAGGGGAACAGTAACTGGGTCAGCGGGTGGGGCAGGGAGAAGCCACTCTTCTTGATGGCATTCAGATGGATTATCTTTCGTCAGCAGGGTTAAAAATAAGGCTGATGGTTCTGGGATGGGGCAGGGCTATCACTCAACAGAACCACTTTGGGGCGCATGCACTACTACCTCCCCATCCCGTAGCTTCCTTTCCCATCCCCAGGTCCCTCGCTGCTTGGTTATAGCTGGTCTTGTTTCCCAGTTGTCTTCACCATGCATTGGTGGCTTCATGAGGCCAGAAGGGGACACTCACTGGACTCATCTTGACTCCGGGCCTTTGTTCAGGCTGTTCCCCCAACCTGGAATGTCCTTCTCCTCCCTCCATACTTACAACCTTAAAGGGCCAGCTAAAGACCCCTGGCCACTCATTGGTCCATTTATTCATACAATTTATGGAATGTCTACCACGAGCCACGCACGGTTCTGGGCGCTGTGGACTCGACAGGCATCTTGGTGAGCTCCCTCATGGAAATCACATTCTAATGCAGGACTCAGACAGTGCCAGCTGCAGGCTGAATCCAGCTCCTGGTCTGTGTCTGACTGCCCTTGAACTAAGAACTCTTATTATATTTTTAAGGGGTTGAAAGAAAAAAAAAACAAAGGAGTAATATATTGTGACACATGAAAAGTATATGAAGTTCCAATTTCAGTATCCATATAAAGTTTTATTGGAACGCAGCCACACTCATCCGTTTATGTACTGTCTGGAGTTAGGTGGTTGCCATAGAGACTGCACGACAAGCAAAGCCAAAAATATTTCCCATCTGGGTCCTTTTCAGAAAAAGCTTACCACCCT